CCCCCCCTCTCTCTCTCTCTCTCTCTCTCTCTCTCTCAAGTTATCTATCTATCTATCTCTTGATGTTGCTTTTTTTTCCAAGACATTCAGCTCAAAAAACAGTACAAGAGCACATTCTACACTTCTCAGTTGCGTTGTCGAATCAAGACATTGGCTTGCACTCAGCGGCATGGATGCTCCAGTGTTTTGTCTGGAAAGAAAAGAACAGAAAACATTTGTTAAAATATTTCAGGGGCATCCATACATAGGGATTCATAGAAACATGAAAGCAAAAGAGACACAGATAGATCAGGATTAGCTCATTGAAATAGCTCAGACATACATATGAGTGACCGGAAAAGACTTGGATAATACTAATAACATTTTTATGTATAAGCTGTTGGAGAGCATCCGACCAAAGAAATGAACCGCGAATCATACCAGCCTACGTTTGTTTCAGATCTGACACTCCTTTGTTTATTTTGGTGAAAATGATGTACATTGAAACAATAATGGTCATTTAGAGCAGGGACAAAGTGGGATAGACAGACAGAAACAACAGAGTGAAAGTACAAATGTTAGACCTTCCAGCGGCGGCCTCCAACCACCCGTGATCCGGCACTCAAATGAGAAGTTACAAGTACACTAATATACAATGGGCTTAGTCTTAAGATATTAAAATTGGTAAGCCAACATTAGACGTACAGTGCACGGGGAGGACAAAATATCGTCGTAAAAAAATCATCTGTTCAGTTGTTGTCATTTTATTGTTTTGATTGTTTGTTTATTTGTTTGTTTGTTTGTTCATTTGTTTGTTTTGATAAAACTATATCTTTCACTTTTCAGAAACAGACTTACACTTTCTATTGAAGGTTAGATTATCTGAGTCTTTAAGTTTAAGAAACATACCTTTAAGTTATGTTTATCTATAGATTAAATCATAATATTCTATAGACTGTTCACTGTCATGGCCGCCGGTGTCTGTTCTCTACAAAACCTCCACTGCGAAATGTGCGCACCACGGGCGCCATATGGAATGGAAAAACACTAGCCCGCCCCCAACCCACTTTGCCTTTCGTTTGGCAATACATTGAGCCAAATTGTGCTCTCCATTGTGAACCAGAAATGACCTCAGAGAGAACAACCTAGGATTTTATTATACAATTGTATGCGTAAATCCCAACGATCCTATTTACATTTTCTTGTAAATAAGAGTGCAATTATTACGCAAGAAGGCCAAGAATCCCTTGCCAAAGTAGTACCCTTTATACTTGGATAAAGTTCTATAGGCTTATCTTTCAAAGGGAATGAAAGTCGAAACGTCTGAAAGAATTTGAAGACCGCAATCGATAGAAAAAAAAGATTAGTCAGATTAATTTTCAGGTAAAGAGAAAATCAAATTTTAAGTTCAATACACATTGTAGTCCCTACTTTAATCTATTGTAATCATATTTAAAGGGCGTCTCTCACTCACTTCTGACTGTCTCTCGTTAAATCTGACGGGCTTTTTTTTCTCTTTTTTTTTTTAAAGAGCAAACAAGGGAGAAAGTAAAGCAATAATTCAATCATTTTGACTGCGCGACTTTGATCGCCCTTTCTAAACCGTAGACTTATAGATAGCACCAACACAGTTCTATTGAATATGTCAGTAAAATCTGTTCCACAGTCTTATGTGAAATGTCCTTCAGCCTGTCCGCAATAATATAGTCAACCAAAGAACATTCATGTCATTGGGCGATATAAAAATGAACATAATTCACCAGAAAGTGTTCCACTATGGTCTTCATTTCTAAATCGTGAACAATTATATGTTAGCACACACACATTTCTGTTGACTATGCCCATTTCATGTTATACACCTTGGAATATATTGATGTGAAAGTTATAATATTATGTTTGAAAAGAACATAATATGAATTTTTTTTCTACTTTTTTTAAGGGAGTGGGGGTCACAAAATGTTTCTATAATATTGAAAGCTAAAAATTATTTTTTTTACCAAATAAAAACCTCAGTCGTATTTTCAGGTTCAGAGAAGTCAAATCTTTAACACACACACACACACACACACA